TTGAGTCAACGGTTACTGAGTAATCCATCATTACGAGAACGGTACATCTCGGTTTTAAGGAAGAATGCTGAGAAGGCTTACACAGTTCCGGTACCGTGCGACCAGATGCGGCCTGGATACAAACCGGGATGGTGGTTGCTGCATCGCACCTTGATCAACCCGACAAACACAGAGTGGTATTTGATTGTGCTGCAAAATACAAGGGTCTTTCTCTGAATGACCAACTGTTTCACGATCCAGATACTACGGCTAACCTAGGTTGGGTTCTTTTGCGCTTCAGAGTTGAAAGGGTTGCAGGTTCCGCTGAAATTAAAGATATGTTTATGCAGGTGAATGTGCCTCTACGTGACCGTGGGCGCTACGGTTTCTTTGGTGGAATGACGACGCGACAGACTTAGAAGTAGTCGAAAACCAAATGACGGCGCATCCCTTCTGTAGCACTTCGTCACAGTTTTGTGCCAATTTCACCTTGTGTCGAATAGCTGATGATTGGAGACTTCATTACAGCGAGGATGTGGCAGAAGCTGTTCACAACAGCTTCTACGTTGGTAACCTCTTGACCTCGCTACCGAGCGTAAGGGTAGCAACGCCATTTGTGGCACAGCTCAGCGAGATGCTAAGTGTGGATTCAAGCTGTGCAAATGGGTCGGTAGTCACGAAGAAGTGTACAACGCGGTTCCGCAAGCAGACATCGCGGAGTCAAGTAAGCCGATAGCTGAAGTGCCTGACTTGGTCAGGCGGACGTTGGTAATAGCTTGGGATTCCCGTGAAGACAACTTTCTCTATCAGTTCACAATACCAGAGACGCCGAATACGAGAAGAGACATCTTGTCTGCAGTATCTTCTAGTTATAACCCCTTGGGTCTAATCGCCACTTTAGTTATGCCCCTTAAATTATTATTGCCAAGACTGTGTCGAGACAAATTACATTGAGATGACCCGGTCACTGGTGAATACAGTGACACCTGGACTTCCTGGTTACGTGAAAGGAGAGCCTTAGATGTCCTGAAGATGCCTCGGTACATTAGTAAGCTTAGGGAGATGGGAGACCTGCCACAACCGCACATCTTTTGTGATGAAGCCGAAGCTGGATATGGTGCAGTTGCTTATGCTAGATTTCACGCTGAAGACACCGCATACTGCTCTCTGTTATACGCGAAGTCGAGAGTAGCCCTCTGAACACAGGGTCTATACCACGTTTGGAACTTCCGGCGGCTATGCTTGAGACGAGGCTATATGAGGACTTGAACGAAAGAGCTCGGATAGGTTTCGAAAAAGCTGTATTTTGGACGGAATCTACGACGGTTCTGTACTACATAAATGTGTCCAAAAGATCCCGCCCATTCGTCACCAAATGACTGACAGGCATACAAGAACTATCCACACCCTGTCAGTGGAATCATGACAAATCTGACTACAAGCCCACGGACCTGCTGTCGAGAGGCACTACATCTCTAGCATGCTGGAAGAGCTGGTTCCTTGGGCCAGATTTTATTATGAGTGTCGATGATCAATGGCCCGGTTTTGCTCCAGTTCTGAGCCGGCTGAATTAGAATTGAAACGTTCCGCTGCCCAGGTTTGTGTAACACCAAGGGTGACCCCCTTGTCTATCATCGTCAAAAGACATTCCGACTGAACTAAGTTACTAAAGGTGGTGGTGAGGCTGTCTCGATTCAAGCATCAACGAAACGCCCGTAGACAGGGAACCAGTGGAACCCTGCAACGCAATCGACTAATTACCCTATCTGAGCCCCACAGAGCAGAGTACGATGCCATTCGAATCGCTCAACTCGAACGGAGTTGGAACGACTCGAAAGGACGATTACAGACTCGGTGGCTTCTAAGGCAGAGATACGGCAAGGCCCGTAAACCCGTCTCCACCCCATACTACGAAGTGGCTTACTCTGTGTTAGTGGACAGTTGGCGTATTCAGAGTACGACGCTGCACTCATGTTCCCGGTTATACTGCTGCCCAAACACGCCGTTACCGAGTTGTTGATCCAATATAATCATTTGATGCAGGGCCACTCGGGAGTTTCCCAAGTCTTGGCGAGTTTACGCCGTAAATATTGGATCGTTCACGGGATGTCGGCAGTGAAACGGTTGATAGGGACTTCTTAAACATGTAAAAAACGGCTCGCCATTGCTGGTCAACAGCTAATGGCGCCATTGCCGTTAGCTCGGGTGGAACGCGAATGGCACCCACTCAAATTGGTCGCCGTCGATTACTTTGGTCCAGTTATGGTTTAACAAAGGGCGGAAGCAGAAAAAACAATATGGGCATCTGTTTACGTCTACAAGCGCGAGCCGTGCATATTGAGTTTTCCCACATCTTAAATACTGACTCGTTCATTAGCGATCTGATGCGATTTGTTTCCCGTGGAGGGACTCCGGCCGAAATATTCAGTGACAATGGGAGCAACTCTATAGGCGTTGCTGTGAAAGGTTGGTTCCAAGCAAGGATCAGTGATTGACTCCTTAGCATGGGGGTGCAATGGTTCTACAACCCACTAATGTCCAACCACAGGGGGGGTAGTTGGGAGCGCATAATCAGGTCTGTTAGAGGGATATTGTTATCGATCGCGATGCAACAGACGTTGAATGACGAAACGCTTGGTACTCACTTTGTTGAAGCGAAGCGTATCATCAACAGTAAACCACTAGTACCTTTGACTTCGGACCCTAACAACCGTATGGCACTCACCCCAACGATTTGCTGATACTGCGACCTAACGCATCACATTTCTTGACGACTTCTTTAAGCGAAGAATACAGACGCTGTTGGCCATAAGTCAATTAAGTGACGGTGTTGGAAAAGGTGGGTCGCAGAGTATTTATCATTGTTGCAATCTAGAAAAAAATGGCTGCATCGGAGTCGGAACTTCAGACCTGGTGACGTAGTTTTGATCACTGCAGAAACAAGTTCACGGGGCATGTGGCCAATGGTGATTGTTGACCACTGCATAACTTCTGAAGGCGAGTTAGTCAGGACTACAGTTGCAAGAACAAGGAATGGGGAAATCACAAGAGATGAGCGAAAGTTGTGTTTATTTGGAAGGAAGCGACACGGGTGGGGATGTAATCCCGGTGGTTGGCTATCCGCAGGTGGGAGGCGAGTTTCGCATCTGCCGCATCAGGGAGGACCCCTGTATGTCGAACGGCGGAAGTGTGAGGTCATAGGCGTACCGGTGTAAGTGCTTTGACCTGCGAGCGTGGACGGAGCCGGTTTGGGGCGGTGCAGAGTAGGAATCAACAGGCTTGATGGAAATTCCGGATCGGATGTTGGTGTGCAGTGTAGAACGAATTTGCGACGACCCAATTCTGACCCCTGTCCAAAGTCTTATTGCCCGGTATGGATTAATCGTGTGCCTGTCCACTTGTCCATTTTCTGTTTCATCGCTCTCTGCCATGACGCCGTTATTGTGTGAGTTAATGTCCCGTCTTCAGTTTATCCACGTCCCACCTCGTTTTCACACAATAGCCCTACGTTCGATTTATTGACATAGTTTTGCTTCCCTTGATGCGATCGATTTGTGGCTCTCACAGTCTGCACAGCTAGGTAGACCAGACCCTACCGCAATGCGTCTTTATTGGCTGACGCATACGGTTGGCTCATTTTGATTCTTAACATAGGCCTGTCTCTCACTGATTCCACGGTTTGTTTTGCAGGCCTGAACTCACGGGTCGCTCGTGAATCTAAGCGCGAATGGTTGGAATAGCTTTGAGTTTGGAAATCGTTAAGATAATGTCTATTTTGATACGATGAATATGTACGAATAGCAGGTATCTCAGGTCTGGACTAAAGTTGGTGTTGAATATTCCGGTGGGATACGCGTGGCTTAACTTCCAAACGCTTTGTGGCGTTACAATACGTGTTGGGTACAGGTGGAAAGCACCTCAGCTATTGTGCCGCAGTACAAAAGAAAAATACGTGTTTTAGAGGCATGCCGATTGTTTCGTTTCGGAGAGCTAACAGTCGGCTGTTGTGACTGGCTGATATACTGCCAGGGAACGCAGACCTAAACAAGAGAACGTTTAGGGTCCTCAATTAAACCAGTCGGTCCAAAAGCCTGTGTGCAAGGCAGAGACCGAAATGGATGCCATCCCATTTCAAACCCCCAACTTGGAGGCCCAGGAGACTGAGTTTCTCTGATCTCTAGCCACTGACCAATCTGATAGGAGTAGCTCTCAAGGCGCCCGGGGACACCACCCAGTATGGGACAAGGAGGTACGCAGACAATCGCACCAGGTCATGGTCCAGTCTCGTTGTGACGGCTAACAATCATTTGACTAGTTTCAACAGTTATCAATATCTTGTTAATGTGTAGTACAAAGACAGGCGTTAAACTGTCCGTACTCTCAAACATTTATTCAGATGTACTCTTGGGACACAAGTTTATTTGGCTCACTAAGTTGTCTAAATTCAACAGCCCCCTCTCTTTGTGTGCGCTATTGGTCACCGGTGTAGATACTACCTCTTTTTGGAAACGGCGCTTCCAACAACAAACTGATCGCCACAGAAGAGAGGAGTCCTTGCACTGTGGACGAGAGGTTTGTTTGTGTTGAAATACAGAAGCTGCTTAAGGACGGCTATCAATATCCCCGTGGCGAGCACAAATGTCAGTCACTACTAACGAAACACATAAACGCCGTATGGTTTTAGATTAGTCAAACCAGCAACCAGTATACTCATCTAGATGCGTATTCTCTACCCAGAATTGACGCCCTTATCAACAAAATTTCCCGTTACTCGGTGTACAGCACATTAGACTTGAAGAGTGCGTATTATCATATTCTTATTAAGGGAAGAGCAAAGGAAGTTCACCACATTTGAAAGCTGCGGAAATCTCCTCCAGTACTGTCGTACGCCCTATGGTGGAACGAATGGGGTGAGCTGGTTTCAAAGGACCATCGATAAGGTAATAGCCGACGAGAATGTGAATTTGACAACCGTTCAATTAGTGGACAAAGCGGAGCGTGCTCAGTGGGAGAATACTCACCAAGGGGAATCTGAGCCGGTAATATCAGCCAGTCGCCGAACAGTCACTAAGCCTGGTGCACGTTCTATAGCGTGTACAGCAATACGGCGACTGCTTTCTCGGAATCCGTAAGGAGGGTCTGTGAGGACAGCGTCTACCAGTCCTATGCATTTAGCAGCCGCAGTTGGCTTTACGAAATTGTCAACTCCCGGTACGCGAAGTAGACGATGGAGAGAGGCAGCATCTGCCACAATGACGTCCAAATAGAGCGATCGTATGCCATACTGTGCGTAATTTGTACGTAGGCACTCGCCGTTAATCCGTTTACCCTAAGGAAGTAAATAAAAAGAGAATGCACTGACAGTAAACGTTGGCATCCAAATGAATTTTACTGTATGTAGCGTGAAAAGGAAGTGATACTCACCTGTCCTGCTTTGGGTGACATCCCCAAACCGTGAAGTAAGGCAAAATCAATATCAGACCCGGCTCCAAAAGCACCCCACAAAGAGGCGGCCAACAGGATACTGCCTGTGCCAACGAATGGATCCCAAACAAGGGCCCCGGGTCCGCAAAGGCCTACGTTGGCCATTATAGCAGCAAGTCGCACATCCATGCTCGTATTACCAAGATAAGAACGGTCCGCAAGGCGATAAGAATTCATGAAGACCTTCCGTTTGCTGGACGCAACGAAGCGGCCATAAAACACTTGACGAAGTTCTGCTTCTCTGACGGGTGGTCCCTTTGCCCAATTGCGCGGTTTGAAGTCCAACAGAACGTTGAGTTGGTACTACGTAAAAATGAAATTAAACCAAAGCAAAAAAGGTTGCAAGAGTAGAGACGAAGCCGCAAAGCAGAAACAAGAGTATGGGCCGTTGAAGAGTACTGGTCATTTACGGGTAAAATAGTAGCATGGAAATTAGATCAGATTTAAATGGAGCTTGAACGCGTACTAATTTATCGAGATAGAACGATAAATACGGAGTAGGTGGTTGTAAGGGTATGAGTGTCACGCTGCTTGTTCGACATCAGCAAGCAGCCGCTAGGGAGCGCATTTTTGCGACAATACACCCGCTGGTCTTGTAATAATTTACGCAGTAACATAGTTAAGAACGTAAGCAGTAAGCTGATGCTAGATTTTACGATTCCTATGTATAATGTGCCAACTACAGCTATTCAGTAAGCGGGACTAGCAAAAAGCGTCTACGAAACTGATCGCTCTACGAAAACCGTAGCATTTTCTTGTTAGAAACATGTGCCACAAACTTGATAGCCTTTGACCCATTTTGATTCGTTACTCATAGACTGCTCATATACAATACATTAGTGAGCGAGAACGTACGTTCGTGGTATTTGCGTTAAACCGCATTAGTGGCGATGTTGCAGCCCGATTTTCAAAGGGATCTCAAGTTCGGAATACATCAAGCATAGAGGGATCAGTCTGATACCCGTCGCTTCTTAATTACCTGTCGTTCTCCATAAACTGACCGGCACCCGTGGAAGCCAGGTTAAAGAAGAGCAACCCGATGTTCGACGAAATAAAAACGGAATCGACCTTCACCTTAAGTCAGATGTTGGAGCACCGCCACGTAAATAGGCAAACCATACTACTCGTCTTTCTCGACAGCAAAGTCGCACCCGGCTCAGTGGATCGATGGGCCCTTTGGTGCAGTTTTATTAAGAAAGATGTGTCCTACAAATACGTAAACATTATCAGGTGTCTAAAGCGCGCATTTCGAGTAGTGAATGCATATGGAAAGCTACCTCTATTATCTGCAGTACTGTGGGAAAGAGATACCCGATGTAAATATTCATCTTCAACGTTGCCGTTGATTGAGTTATGTTAATTGGATTCGCCGGACCCAACTTAGAAAATGCGCGGTCGTTCCCATCTGATCGACCCCTTGAGTTGGAGCAAGTCTCTGCTATCCTTCTGATCTGTAACAACACAGAAACGTGTGAAATGGCAATAAACAGATTGGCACTAATTGTCAGACGTCTTCGGTTGCGTTTCATGTCAACAAAATGACATTTTCCCATAAGATTGGCATGGATCAACTCTAGCACTGTTCCCTGGTGATGGTCGGTAAGAAATCGCTCAAGTTAGTTAATAGGAGCAACCAAACAGGTGCCTGTGCGACAAAAGATGAGATCGGAAACCGTACAGCAAAAATCTAAGCGCTTTTACTAATATCCGCCAATTACAGCGCCGGAGTGACAATACCTTCGTTCCGAATGGTAAAGTCTATAGTGTTATCTCCATTCAATCCTGCCGTGCGGCTGTGAAAGGTAGTCCATCAGGTCAACAAACGTAAAGAGAGAAATTGCGTGCAAACAAAGTATCCTTGCAGTATAGCGCATAACAAGTGGACAGAGCAATACGTGATGAACAAATGAACCGCATAGCACTCTTAGTTCACTCACTAGGCTGCGATGGATTGGCCATGGAGCGATGTGCGCTGTCTACGCAACCGGTCTGGATGGAAAAAGAAAAGCGGACGACAGCCCGTGACTCTGTCAAGAGGAATGCAGGTTCTCAATTCGAACTTGGTCGCGGTAGGTGTATCACGATTCCCCGGTTGGAGTAACAAGGATGATGAGCACATTTGGTTGGAGATGGTGGGGCTTCAGTGGCATTCGTGTAGGGAATGCCTCTGTCTCTTCCCTTCCCGCCTAGCCTCCCTCCACGATATCCTCCTTGATGCGCAATAAGAATAAGACATATTTGTTTTGTTTTTCTCTGAACTAGGACCAAATAATCGAGCTGCATTATTGTACAAAAACGTGTTTTTCAAATTTAGCTAAATGATGACGAGCTACAATGTCACCACCGTATCATCGCGATGAAGCGGGACTGTGACAAGATGCAATGGTTTGTGTACCTGCGTGAGCCGTTGATCAAATCTGGGTGGAAGCTCTTGTGTTTTCCAAACTACGCATACTAAACAGGTTACCGGTTAGAAGCAACACAAGCTGTTTCAGCTTCCTCTTCATGGAAGATTTGGGAAAGGTCAATAGCCTTCAAAAATCAGCCGTGATGCGACTGGAAAAGATTGTGCAGAGCAAGCTACGGCTTTCCCCTAATGAGAGAGCACCACCCATGAGTACTGGTATGTCATACAGCCCATCATCAAAAGAATAAATTGGCCGAAACGAACCTGCACTTGGTTGTGGTCACAGATCTAGGATTCACGATACACATGAGTAGCTTCGGAGTTTAAAGGGGTGTGTGTGATCAGCACCAAGAAGATCCAGTGTGGATCGACAGTCACGCACCCAATCTGAACCTGCTCCTCGCCACATCGTGGAACATATCGTAGAGTTAAAGGTTAAGCGCGGAGACAGGTAAACAACCATCCGATTCACTACCCTGCAGGTTAGAGTGCTGAGCCAGAGGCTCAGGACCTCCGACATAACCTCTCCACAAGAGTGGGCAGTCGCGAAGTAACCACAAGACATTATCACCAGAAATCGTCTCGCCTCTTAGGTTCTCTATCCTAAAGCATCTCTATTTTCGTGTCAACTATCAAGAAATCGTTACTAATATCAAAAACCATGCCATAAAGAAGCTAGAAAGGTATCAGGAGTACATCGGTAGGCAGTACCGACGCTTCGCTGCCAAGCAAGCACCATCGGTCGCACAAGAGCTAAGGGTTCTGCGAGGATCGCCTGGTCCCTACGCAGGCTCTAACCCGCTTCTTCGGATTACAAGGCTAACTTGTGATCCTTGGTGCTAGGGGCCGGCTAGACCAATTTCAATACCCATGGCACCAGTTCACTTCTGTTCTCTTAACGTCCGTACATAGTCATACCGGCCAAAAAGTGATATTTGTTCTGGCCTTAGGTCTTATCAGAGTTGATCTAGACCGTATATGCGAAACACGCATACAGGACAACAGCCCCCTGGTTCATGTGTGGGTGTAAATGATATGGTGATCCCGACTATTAGTTTATTTTTTCCGTAGTCTGTAATTAGTGATGAAGATATCAAAAAAGGAAGTTACAGGTATCGTAAAAATGAAATCGAACGCAGCCGTAGGCATTCCGTGGCTTCTTCAGGGAGCATGGTGCTAGCCGGTCGCACAAACTGAAGTAGGGAGTTGACTTAGAAGATACCACATCAAGCCTTTTACTGAATAATCAAACTGCAAAGCAACAAAGCGAAGAAAATGAAAAGCGCTAATTCGGAGCTCATGATCAATATACCTTTAATTTTTCTATGCATTCCTTATTTACAACCAGAAGCAGAACTTTTTGGCTATATACCGCTCAGTTATCATTAGTTGTATTCCGCTATCTATAACTCTTTTTTCCACCGTTGACTACGACTGAGCCGATCTTCTGAAGTGATGGAATGAAGTTTCCGGATTATTGAATACGACCACATGTGATGGTGTCACAGACCTATTAGTGAGAAAAGAATATGTCTAATCAAGGCAAACTGGCACACACTCATTGAGCGCAAAAGGCGCCCGGATTGAAAGAGTCAAATTTCGAAATGGGCTGAATGGTCTAAAAGAGTATATTTTTAAACGAAAAACATGAGAACTAACTTATTTTTGCGAGCCTATTGCTCATTATATGTCAGAATGGCCATAAAAAAGAGCTAGTATGGTGATGATTCGCTTGCTGTTATGCCACGCAGATATGAAGCCAAATGGGAAGTGGAAGTGCGGATAAAACATTTTGAGGGAATACCCCGCATGGAAGCAGGTCTACAGGAGTCAGTTCAACTTTTAGCCGTAATAATTCTAATGTGCTTTTTTTCAATAACCACTTTCATCCTTCATTTAAAGGCCCTTCTTTTGCCATTTATACCAACTGAACTCCTCATATACCTGACTTTGAAATCTTTCGGAAAGTATGAAATAACATGTGCACTTTGAGGTCATGTTGTACCATATGATTAGTCCAAGTTTTGGACTGTAACTCGCACAGTTGAGAAATATACACACAACTATTAACCGAGGGTGAGAAACACGTCTAAGCTAATGTGCCGCAATATAAAAATGGTAAAACACTAGGCAATGTAGAATTAAAGGCTATAAAAAGTAACATAGTGCTAATATCACATTGGTGATCGCTGGTGGAGGGAGAAGCTAGGGGAAGGGGAGCGGTCATGAAACATCTGACGAAGTTCTGCTTCTTTGACGGGTGGTCCCTTCGTCCAATTGCGCAGTTGGAAGTCCATTCGGAGCTGGTGACCGGTAATTCGGTTCATACGTCCTGCGTTTGATTAACTACCGAACAGAGACCAAGTACACTCTGCGTCCATAATCTGGGCTGTAATGCTCCATCAAAGTGAAGCAAAGAGCAGTGATTATGGTTAGTGGCGAGTCACTGTCGCCAAGTCGCAGCATTGCTAAGCAAATACTCTTGGCATTTTATAGAGGGAGCGCTTACCAGAAGAAAACCCAGCACGTACTGAAACATTACCGCCGGACCATTTGCTGGAACGGGATAAACTGGGACCATCAAGCTGCTACCATGAGGTAGTTAGGAGATTAGTGGGTGTTTGGACAGTATGTTGAAATTGCTTGTCGTTCCTACCCCACCAAGTTTTTACCCCTTGGAGTCGGCCCGTAGCCTAAAGAATCACAAGCCTGCCTTGTAATCCGAGGGCGCAGGTTCGAGCCTGTGTAGGGAATCGGGCGAATCTCGTCCGTAGCCCACGTGCGATTGCCGGTGGTTGTGCGGCAGTGAAATGTCGATACGGCGTACCGCCATACTGCTTAGACCGAGTCTTCAGACGATACAGATGCGAAATATTATGTTTGTCAGCCAAAGTAA